ACGGGGTGCTTTTATTCAAGGCAGCCGGATTGGTCTAGGAGAGTGTGCCAGGCGCGAAATGGAACAGAGGGGTACCCCCCCACAAGTCCAATCCCATTCACACTCCCGCATATGGTCACTTAACACATTCCCCTAGATGTGTGAAAAGAATTCCTGAGATAACAGTATAACAATGACCAACACTAAAGCGAGGGCTCTCTCTGCCCCATAAGTCTTCATTATGTAGGAGAGATTTAGCGAGTGGGTGCCGCAAGCACTCCACCACTCCAAAAGAAAGGTGACTTATCCCAGATGGGTAGAACAGAGACGCATCAGCCAGTCAGTCGCAGCGAGAGTACACAATACAGCTGAACAGAAGTGAACTAACGGAGGGCAAACCAAGCTTTAGTTTAAGAGGACAATGAACAGATGCACATTCTCATGGAAGGGGCGAAAGATCAACAGCCTGCACTATTTGTTACGTTCAATCGACAAATGAAACAAGAATGAGACGGAGAGAACCCCCTCTGCTTTTTATTGGTCATTGTTTCACGGGAATCTGAGAAATTCTTGTCAGACATCTAGGGGGGAGTGTGTATAGGGATTGGACACGTTGGAGGGTACCCCTCGGTCTCATTTCTTGCTGGGATATATCAATCGACTTCCACTTTGGGCCTGTTTGTTTTACGCAGATCCGGATTTAGATTACATGTAGTAATCCGGCGTCGGTTCACTAACGCTTAAACGAATTATTGTTACTCAGTTGAATTGTCATAACTTCAGCATTTTCGCAGCAGGTGTCTTCCAGGATCTTACGTAATGCAGCTCTGATTTAGTGTTTAATTATTCGTAATTGTTTCTGTAAGGGTGTAAGCGTATCGCCACACCCCTCTAACTAATAAATATTCTCATTTGATGCATAGACACGTCGACGGCAACATGTATCGTTCAGACAATGATCTGTTTTTGACTCGTACTAGTTTCCGCAGTGATATAACTGCACAATTGGAACTGAACGCATTTTGGATACTTTTCTGAAGGAAAATTTATCCGTAGGCAGTCCCATTGATGCTCCCTCTCCAGTGCAATTATCTGACGTTTCGGATCCAAATGAAATGATATCATCCTGGCTTGCAGTAGACAGTCAGTTCTCAAAAGACTGATTTGGTATGCCAGTGCCCAAGTGTGTGATGTTGCGTTAAAATCACGAAAAGGGTAACATATGATCTTTTTTGTAAAAAACTTCCATATTTCGTTCTTGATAAGTTGAATCTGTGCAGTTGTGAGCCTTACAGCCCATTGTCGTCAAAAGTAATTGAAAATGCAGAAAGCTTACAGATTTCCCTCAAGACTACTATTCCTACTTCATAAATGGTTCCCATTTAAGAGTGATTGTGTATAAAACACTGTCCAAATTCTCCTTGCCATTTCAGCTTCTCCAAGTCAACTGAAAAAAATAAAAAATGGCAGCTATAGGTAGTGAAGATCTCCAATGACTGGAGAGCTTGGCACAATTAGCGTGCGGTCAGGGGTTCAACCTCCGAAACGGATATCAGCCCGATTTGGGTGAAACTGCTGGAAGATGACAAAGGACGAGCTTTGCTTTTCTCTCAAAAAGATTTGTCCTGGAGGCTAAAACTGAAACACTTTACAAAATCGTCATATTCAGATGCATCTTTCAATGCACGGACGGGTCATGAAATTTCTGAATGATGGGGGATTTACTGTTCTCAAAATACCTTGGACACTCATATGGAAGAAATGACTTTACAAGGACACCGCGTCCGTCAAAGAAAAGCTGAAGCAATGACAGAAAACGAAGAAGAAACGTTGTGGGAGACTGGGGTACTAAGTGAAGAAACTCCACAGAAACTCAGGGAAACGATTTTGTATCTTTCCGGATGAGCCACTTTGCCAGCTGAGATTTGAAAACTTGTTGGTGTCCCTTCAGGCAGACAGTGATGGACCCTAATGAATGGAGCAAACCAGCGAAGGGATCACTATTCCAGATCCACATCTGTGAGAACAAACAGGCCCGACGTTCTTTCTCCTTAAAATGCAAGATTATTAAAAGAGCTATTTAGGATTTGACAGCGGTCATCGTGATGCACTTTTCTTCTTGTAACTGCAAGGATATTCAATAAACTATACATGCATCTAATTAGAGACAATATAGCGGTAAGCTATTGTATTGAAATGAAAGGTCAGTAACAGTTCGTTTGCTGGAGTCAAAACAAAATATTGAAACGTTCAAGCGATGTGACCTTAACCATTGTGTTCTGGCGTGGAACACATTAATTTGGTGAAGGTTCTGCTTCCGGTTCTTAGGCTGTTTCTAAATTACTTAATAGGCTTCAGCTGACGACCGTATGCCCTTCACGAACTCGTGATACTTCAGCTGAGGGCAAGTATACTTCGGACGCAACCTTATTTTTCATTTCGTTTTAGGTATAATCAGTTGAGCACTTGGCGCATTTAAAATAAGCACATGCCGTCACTGACACCACGAACTAACACTCAGTTGCAAGTGGGCGTGCGTGTCAGTTCGTGGAAAAGACACGAATTTAATCCATGCATACACTCGCTGCCTTGCCCCCAAATTTAACTGAAATTCGTTTTAACTAATGCAATTAAGATCTACGGAGCCCCTAAAGAGACATGGGTTGATAAGTTTGTGAAACAAAAATACACGGAGTGCACGCCAGACGTGTCGCACTGTACCGGGTGCCAGTTCATAAAAGAAAATAACATGGTTCTCTATGGCCAAGTTCGGGCGGCCTGTTCCCGTATTTTCACGAACAGCTCGATTTGTTGTTCGTGGGTCGGCCGCTCCAACGCCGGGAACAAACAACCGGTTACCGCTGGTAGTGACAAGCAACATGCAACATGGTGGCGTCCATGTAGGGTACGTTATTCGAGAGTTAATGTTTGGATGGGCTGAATTTTTTTCTATATAAACAGGAACATTCATTTCTGTGTTACGGAAAATAATTAATGTTAATTTTGCAAAACTTCTCGTTGTCTATGGTTTTGGAAGCCATCTCTCTACTTTTTGCTGCTGGTCTAAAGTCAAAATCTCACGAGTTTTTCCATGTGTTCCTGTAAAACCCTGACGAAGAGGTGGTGTGTAATCTTGTTCCGAGAACAGTGTCCTTAAGTCGTGTTCCCGCCGTTCGAGCGCGAGAACAAGAAACCCTTGTCAAGAACAGGCAGCCCGAACTCAACCTATAAGTGCGCACAAATGAGATCACCTTGAGCACGACTGAGTGTGGTGTCAGTGACGAATGTACACGGGCTAAAAGCAACCTAAGTCGTACTCCACAGGAAAAACGAACAATCTTTACAAAGGCTACTGTTGCTTACTTTTCATTTCGTCCCTAAATTCATTCCGAGGTGTAGTTTATTTCCTCTAGACAAACTTCATCTATCACAGTTGCTCCACTCCTCCTGTGTCAAATTATGAAATGTATAAACCAAACTTAATAAGCATTTTTAAGAAAATGAGATGGGTAAAAGCAATATATATTGGGGAGAAATATAGATGTATTGTCCATAAGTTTTCGTTGATTGTACTCCACAAAGTGATGAAAGAGAGCTCTGGTGACAAAATGTCGAAAACGTTTGCCAATTCGCGTCAACCATCCCCAATGTTCCAGTAACAGACGTTAGCTCAAAGTCTTTCGGCACTCTGCACAATGTTGCTACTGAAATCGAATCAACGACCCTGTGATAAACGCGAATACATTTGTCCAAAGAACGTACATTAGTACTACTACTAGTTTGAACGGCCAAAAGAGCTAGGTTTTCAAACTACAACGAACACTCAACGCTTGAAACCAGGTCTCTTTTGCTTCCCACTCAAATCCAAGGAATTCCACAACACACCCTAACCCGAGAAGTAACCTATGAGTCATGTTTAACAGAAAAACGCAAACGGACTCACCTTTTGGCGTAATCCATGGACGACGAGCTATGGAAATGTATACGGTTTAAAAATGCACCAACGGCTGGCTGCATCTAGGCATGGTCCCGGTCTGGGCGAGCTTCCAGGGTGTACGCGCATGCCTACAATGTATTTCTCACGGGCCGACCCTCTAGCTGAGGGGCTTCCCGATAATTTGTGCCAAGCCGGCCATAACGCGCCAATCAGCAAACTGCATGCGTGTTTTGTGGTCACTGTCAGCCACGCGCAATCCACTGACTCGCATTCAGCTTATCTTTCACTCCGTATTTCAAATGCCAACAACAGGTTAACTGGCCGCTTCGCTTGCAGAAGACGTACGAGCTGGCTTAAATTCCACGAGAACCTCGACAAGCTACTTTGTGCATACAGTCCAATGAAGGAGGCTGCAAACCATTTTACGTAAACGTCCACCGATAAGGCCAGAAGGCGACTTCGATGCGATGTCGACAGAATCATCATGACAATGGTGAGAATGAGATATTGAAGTTGATTACACACAGTGGTTCTCGAATAAACATTCCAAGCAAAACTTCCAAGGGCATCTTTAACATTAAAACCATGGCTGTGACGAAGTAGTCATTGCTTTAGTGAAATTATCACTATCCAATGTCATATAATATCCATTCCAATCCACGAGCATCACTTTTCCCTCGGCAATCGAGTACACGTGCACGTCATTCATTGTGAAGTGTACATCCCCAGTGTACCAACAACGCGTGAATATGCTGTGTCCATACGCACACGTGCTTTACAGCATGCACTACGTCATAGGGAATCTCCCGCTCCACTTGCATTACGTGCAGTCCGAGTGCACAAAACGGGGATCCCAAGATTGCCCAATCACCAGACATTGCGTAAACAAAAGGGGGAAAACCCATTACGTCAAACCCGGTTCAATACTGTACAGTATATGTATAGCTGTAATCCTGAATTACAACCTGCATTATTTGAACATGCGGGGGGGGAGTATTCGATTTATATGTTAATTATTGTTAACGCCATCTTTCGAGTTGAAAGGTTTTCACAGGAATCAAAAGCACAGAGCAGAACAACTCGATTAAACCAAAGGCCTCCAGGGGCGCAAAGAAATTATATTAATGCAGCACTGGATTTGGGAATTGCGCAAATACAAAGTGGTTTGTACCATTTCACCGCCGTATTTATCAATGGTGCATGTTTTTTCCTGATTTTCCAATACCAATCCTTCCAAATCCTCAAAACAAAACAAGAATAAACATAGGAAAATTTAAATTTTAAAAACATGTTCATCAATTTCAGTTACAATACAAATTCATTATACCCACAATCTGTCAGTATACTTGCTGATTAATGATTGAGGAATCTTAAACCGAGTTGCACTCGCATAACATAAAGGAATATTTTAAAAAATCAGTCCATAGCCGATTCTATTTTGTTTGGGAGGTATTTGAAGCCAACATAATTATAAGCCGTCCTACTTTCCAAAGACAAGTGAACAGCTGGATTTGAGAATAAATCAGATGTCTGACATATTCACACATTGTGCATTCAGTAAAATTGAATCTTAGCATATTTATCCAACGCAAAGGCACGTCTTTTGTAGATAAACTGCAAAACTTCAGTATGAAATGCCATGTACCTAAGATTTAAGGGCTTTTGGGAAACATGAATTTGCTGAGGAACATAAAAATTATGCAAATCTAGCAGTTGCATGAACATTAAATCATGCACAACTAAAAAAAAATCGTTTATTTCAAGGCTGATTTTTATCACAGATGACTTCACACTCTGAAATCTATCTTGAGGCTTTGAATAAATTGATCCTATGATTTCTATTTCCACTCATTAGTTGATATGCTTCGCACACGATCACACCACTGTGGAATGGTCAAAAGTAGATCTGGGGAAGTTTAAACACCGCTGAAGAATATGCACTTCAAAGGTACTACCATGGGTAATGAAACAAAGTCCGCAAGGGCTTGTCTCTTTTTGTACAGGTGCAAAATTAGAACTGGACTACACAATACATGTACCATACTGGGCCGAACCCAAGTCTAAAGCTAGTGCATAAACACTATAAATTCACATGCACTTGTAAGGATAAATAAGCTAAAGAGATGGCATTTGACAGCCTGTATTGATTTAAATAAACTTCTCTTTCTTTTATAAATTTCCTTAACCTGGTCAACTGATCAAATAATCTTTATTTCAGTCCTCAGTGAAAAAACTATATTGAAACCAGTTAACGGCAGTTCAGAAATTATGCCAGAAACTAAAAATGTGAAAGAAACACAAACGGAATTACACAGTCGGTACATTTCTCACTTTGTAAAGGGAGGGGCTTCAGCATGAATGAAAACACCATTGCTAGAGTGGAATGTAATAAACGAAATGTTAATTACATTTGCACTTTCAAGTTCTCAGCTATTCAATATGATATCCTGGGGTGGGGAGAGTTGCAGCAAAATGAATAGCTACTTTTGACCTCCAGGTGTTAGTTTTAATATAAACCTTTAAAGGTGAAGATACAAATTTACATTTATCATACAAATCAGGATGGGACTTTGTACAAACTTGGGGCTTTGTTTTTCTTCCTCTACCATGACATTGAGCACACTTGCTGATCCGAATTTTGGCTAAAGTTTCTGTCATGATATGATGGAGCAAACCAAAATAAAGTTTTTAAGGGGGGGGGTTTAATACATATAACATCTGTACAAGTTGCGGCTCTCATGATGGAACACCTGAATTAGGCTTTGCCTACAGACATCGGTTGTCACGATTTCCTGGCCGATTCAAAGAAAACCTGAGTAGTCAAAAATGAAAAAAAGTTCATCTCTTAAATCTTAAATCTTGCTGGATGTATTCCTAGACATGAGAAGCTATTGTAGTGATTTTAATGTACAATTATGTGTATTATTGGAATTGTATTTTGTATATGGTTTAATCAATCTGCTGGTCTGTAAGACAGAATATTCGGACATTTGATCGAATTGAAGGTTAAAAATTTGACTAGTGAATTGTTCGATTTGACTCAGCCGTCATTTACAACTGTTTCGCAGTCCTTATTTGACACAGGAGTATGAAAAAAAAAACCAAAACATGAATATTTTGCCACTTACTTTAAAGTAATTTCTAAAGACTTTTGGCTCCATCTCGTGTAGCGCGCGACAGAATGCCTGAATAAAAATGAAATAAAATGTAGGTAATTTAATCTGGAAAATAATTTACATAAACTGTTGCAAACTTAGACAAATAAAATAGTAGATTCATAAGATTCACTGTTGATATTGTATTGTTCTATCAAACATCATTATTCATTGAAAAAGGTTATTTCTCTCTGGTATCCCCTGGAACAAAGTGTCTGTCTGTCTTTCTTTCTAAATTCCAAATTTCCTCCGACATGATATTTTGAGCTCTGGGAATTTCCAATGATGAAGTTAAACTTTAATTCACAGCCAGGGATTTCCCCTTTTTACTGGAAAAGGGGACTCTTAGTTTACCATTACAATAAACAATTTATGATTAAAAAACCCACAACAGCCAAAGGATAAACCAATGACAGGATATATCAATCAATTTTTCAGTCTCTCCACACAAACATTAAGACCATCATAAAACATAAACAGAGCCTCACAGTTTGTGATGTGAAAACACTGTGAGCACGATACATGCACATATGCAAATACACAGTCTTTTTGCAGAATGTTGAGATAAAACGGCTTGACACAAAATCTCCCCAACAAATTTCTCCTTATATGGGAAATACTTGAGCATTTCTAAGTCAAAGTTAACTGCTCTACAGAAAAAAATTCGTTCCTGTCTTTTTCCGCTTGTTACATGTACAGATGTACTTCAAATGAGTTAATTTTGCATTCGGAGTCTTGTAGGAAACTTCCTACCCAAAACTTACCATAGGTGATGTCAGAACAAACTTTCAGTATATTATAGGGCAACACATGGCAAGCAAGCGGGGACAGATTATAGATTACTTTAAAAATTGTCAAGCCACAGGAAATCATGTTGCCTTGGGGACAAAAACAATTTTCCCGTGGGAATTCGATGATTTTTTGGGTCTCTGAACATTGATTCATTCAACCATTTCCCTTCTAATACCAATAGGTTATTGTAAACAAAGAGAAACTAACCCTGGACATTGAAAAGAGTTAACATGTAGATATACGTATGAGCTAAAAATACACTTAACTACATACACATGTGCTGCAGCTTGTGGGGGATAGTTTTGCAAAAATAAAGAAACAAAACAAAACAAAACAGAGGTAAGAGGTATTCATTTAGTATTTTGGGGTCCAAAGCTGTAGATTTTTGCGAGATAACCAAACGACAACCAACTGATACATGTAGTACCAAAATATAGACCTTCTCTAATCATTCTACATTTTAAATATGCATCCAGAGGGAAAGATGAAAATCTGATTTAAAACTGTTTGTAGCACCACAGAGTTGAACTGATGCATTTTAACCACTTGGTGGATTTTTCTTGAGCAAGACAAGATGCCGGGTACTTTTCAAAATTTTCCCTTTTCAAAATTCTTTAAAAATTCATCATTTCATTAATGGCTGTTTATACCAAAATGAAGGACTCTTTGGGCACTACTCTAAAGCTGACAGGTAAAATTCATTGACTCCTGAATATTTCAGCCAGGCCTGCAGCCTTGGAAAAAGAGCCCAGATTGTGCAGTGTTACGTAAGATTCTTTAGTTCAAGAAACTGGCACAGTGCACTGCTGACCTGTTTTCAATAGGAGCCAGATTAGCGTGCAGAGGTGATGTGTGGCTCATCGCTGCGGTGGTGGAGTGCTTTTGTCCCCAATGGTAATCCGCTCGCTCTTAATGCATCAAACCGTGGTATACTATTTCAAAACAAGGCTGAATTATCTCCGCTATTGAGAGCGAAAAAATGTCATAATGCCCAGCGGCTCAGTCTTTTGTGTTGAGCACAGTCTTTTGTTATAAGGCCCAACTCTTTTGTCCCAGTTCCGGGCTCCCGGCTCTGCATATAAAGCCTGTGTACTTGAAAACGGGTCGCCCGGGAGGAAGTGGTTAAATGAATTAAAGCAACCTTTGACAGTTTCTGCCTTGTGAAAGAAAACAAAGTGTTGTAAACTGTGGTGAAATTTTTGGCATTAACATTCAATTAAAAAATGAGAAATACGTCATCGAAATTGCCAGAATCAAAGCTGTTCGGGGATGGTGGAAGGATCTTCATCTTGTCAGAGGTTGCTGGGAAGGGAAAACAACTGGTCCTCAATGTCTAGCATGACCTCGCTTCAACTTCTTAGGTTTCCTCACAAATTTCAATTGCAATAGTGGAATATGAAATATTTCGAAATATTAGACCTGAAAAGGGACGCATGAGATACATACAGCCAAAATGATGAAACAAAGAACCACAACACCTGGCAGAGTAAACATTTCTGACGTGGTAAACCATACCCAGCAAATTCATCTCTGCTGGTTTCATGAGTCAGGCAGGCTTTTTACAAGTGAGACTAAGACAATAGACTTTTGTTTGAATAGATGACTGTAAATTCCAGGTTTTAACTGCATCCATTTGTGGGAACTAAACTGAATGACCCTGCAGGATGCATCTGAAGCAGCAAAGCAAATCAAGAATACCTCTAGGAGGTCCTCTCCAATGCCAAATATTTTAAGGCTTAGTAATCAGCCACAAATAATGCCTTGAATATGGGCACTGTACCCTTTCGTTTTCAAGGGCTCGGGTTTGAATCTACAGACATGGAACCTGGTCATCTTGGAACCCCAGTCAACTGCGGAGGGTGAAAATATTCAATACTTGGATCTAACTATTACTCCTACTGGTATATACACTGCCTCACTGTAGGTTAGTCCTCCTTCCGACAGTACAACCAAGTTTCATGTGGAATTAATATTTAATTTTTTTTGGGGGGAGAGCACAACGGATAAATGCTTGAGAGCACCCCCCCCAATGAGTAGGGTGTGGGGGAGGGGAGAGCGTGGGGGGAATCCCTTGGATCTGTGTCCTTGCGATTGGTACATACTTACATTATGTATTTGTGTGCATAATGCGCATTATTATTAGGCAATATTTCCCTTGGCTGGTGTACATGTAGCAATCAGTATCAAATTGTGTGGAAATGGTTGTACAGTAGTTTGTTAATATTCAACTTCCTGAAAAAATAGGCCTACACTTGGAAGTGGGTCCACTTTAACATAAAATGTAAAAGCAGTATGGAATTTCCATTTCATCTTTATGTAGAATATATTTTAAACTCATAGGTCAAAAAAATTCCAAGTATTGATCAACATTTGCTGTATGACAGTAAGAAAATTCCCCTTGGAACACACAGGGTTTTATGAAACACGATTTCACAGAACAACACCCTTATCTTTAGAATTCGTCCCCCGCTGGCCATGCCTCAAAAAAGAATGAGGTATTAAAGATAATGAAATGGAAATGTAAGCTACACCCTCAAGGGAGGCCCCTCGAATAACAGGATATCTGCTCATTGGAAATTATTTCAGCACCGTCGTCAAAAAAAAATACTCAGAAATCAGTGTTTTAGGATGAAATCAACACTGCTTTTCTGCATACCTGAATGGCAACCTGATACAAAACAAATGAAAGGAACGAAAACCAAATCACAAAGGCTTTACAGCGCAACAGCGCTTAACAATCTTGTGACATTACCTCATACATGTACAATGTAGTGTACACAGTGTATGAATCCTAAGTCTTGTAAGGTGAATGATTTGTTCTTCTATTGCGAACTTCATATTTCAGTTGTGCTTCAAATGATTTGGGGAAACCCTACATGTACCTCTTGAGCATTCTTAGGGCACTGAAGGATTTGACGGTACACTCTCAGCATAGGAGTAGATGTGTAAGGGATTTTGGGCAGCCTCAACTAGAAATTTTTAAAGCCATATTGAACTGAACGATGCTAAATGTTAGAGTTTTGCTGATGTGTGTGCACTGTTATGTCAAAACCGCAAATCAAATGTCAATAGATTAAATTGTGTGACAAACCAAAAAAAGGGCACACTGCCATTTCCTGACATTTAAAACTTAACAAATGGATTAAGACGTAATAAAGTCCACATTTTTCGCCCACAAACTTTGTCTAAATGCTGACATTTAGCGCATGGTTTAGCATAATCCCAGAGAATGTCCCACTGAGCAAGAAAGTAAAGGTTCAATTTGATGGACAGCAGCTTCAAAATTAAGAATACGTACATTTTCTCGGTGACTGTTTTCAAACCACTTGCATTACATTTGGAGTGAAATCTACATGTATGTACCTTCGGCAGAGTCCAAGTTTGGTTTGCTATTAAACCATTAAAGAAAGTCTTTACTTGTTTCTACTGCCATTACAAACACGTTCCTAGATCTTTCCAAAGCAGTAGGTTATTAATGGACTTTGCTAGATTGAGGAAGGTTTAACCTAGCCAACTTGACTCTGCAAGATACAGTAGAGAATTATGCCATCGGTTTACAACAAAACGTTGGCTTTTGAAAGATTCAGGAGCCATGAAATGCCTGGGGAGTTGGGGTATGTAGCTAATCAATCAAGAAGCTTTGAGGAATGCCAGAAACCATTTTCCTGTGACATGTCCTGCTTCAGGGCAAAAAGAATGGTTAGGGAAAGTTATTTCTTGATACACCGTTCATGCTTGAAAGAATATGTTGGAAATATGTGCAGGTCTGTGGATGTTGGATTAGTTTGTAGGATTAAGGAGTTAGAACCAAACCAGTTTAACTTGCAGTGGTATCCTCCATTCATGTTATAAAGAATATGTCGGTAGATTTTGCACGAGTGCTGAGGTGTTGAAGGATTTTGTAGGGTTGAGTTTATTAGATCTCAGTCACTTGTTGATTTGCAGTCGCCTTGGTGTCTGCATTAGTGACGCAAAGAAATGTGCCCGTTGGGTTTTCAGTAGCAGTAGATTTCAGCTACTAGGCTCCTTGTTTGAGTTTGAAGGGTCTGGGTGGGTTAGAGTTGCAGTCTGAGAGAGGGCCTGTCATGGTGCTCACCTGGGCAGGCTCCGGGCCTAGAGGCAACGAAGGGAAGTAGTCCCGCTGTAGGAAACTGGTCAGGTTGGACCCTTCCTTGGCTAGTACTGACTTCAGCACGGCTGCATCTTCATTCAGAGCCTACATGGGGTACACAGGAGAGGAAAGATGTTTACTTACTGGACGATTTTAAAGGTCTTATTGTGATGTTGACATTCCAAACTTCCTGGGTAGTGTACAAATAAGTTTCTGGTTCCAGAAGACTCAGGAAAAAGGAAACTCGGTCTACTCTATTTCAGTTCTTTCAGGTGTTGTAACGAAGGAAACCTCAAAAATGTACAGGGGGCTGTAGTCTGCAAGCAAACCTGAGGAAACTCGGTGACAGAGGAAAAGAAATTCTCACTTTTGGCTGAGAAGGAAGGAAGGCCTTGGAAATGATATTCTGGGGAATAAACCCACCCAATTACCTGGGAACTGAAAACCAAATCCACATACCAACCTAGGCTGGATCTGACCTCAGATCATTGAGTTTGAAGGCAAGGAAATTACCATTGCAAACCTGACTCCCCCCATGCTATTTATGTACACATATACTTGCATAACTCAACCTTCACAACATGATAAAATAACCTGGCTTTATGTCAAAGTATATCCTAGACATTTCATGAGCCATTCCTCCTGACGGCTCTGAATATTGTGCCAAATCCAGGACAGAAGTGAATTGTATCCCTCCTTTCTACTGGTCACTTTATTCCCAACCCCTGCAGATCCCTAAAATCTGACAGGGGATTTGCAAGGAGTTGGAACATTGTCTAGGGTCCAACCGTTACACAATTGCCTAATGTGGTGTCTGGTATACCCGCAGAGTTCAAGCCTAAAGAATGTGACACTGGTTTCCTGGAGTGAGGAGAATATGGGGGAAGTAAAGTCTTGTAGCAAAATGCCTTGGGAGTGTACAATGTAAAAGTAAACATCACAAACCACTTTAAAAACTCTTCAGTTTGAATAAATGTCGACTCAAAAGGCACATGAAACAAGCCAAAGAGACATTGCATTCTCCCGTGCTATTATGCTATTAAAGTTTTCCTTTAATGCCGAAGTATAATTACCACGTGTGAGATTGATCAACGATAAAAACAGCTGAAAAGGGCATAAAGAAATCTCCAATACTTTTGTACACAGCCAGTGAGGAAAAAAATGCTAAAATCCAAAACAAAAAAAGCTGAAATCAGCTAAAAAGCTGAGAAATCTCACCCCTGAATGACTGAAATTAATGAGTCCATCCCTGGATTGAATATAAATAAGCACATAAAAAAAAAATCCCCAACTGATTGCGCAACCACAGGTAAAGTACCGATATAACTAACCAGCCTCTTTCACCTTCGATAAACCAAGACACGCATAAAAAATTCCATACAAGGCTACGTGTTGGCTTCATGTAGAGCGTACAAATATGAATGCGTCATGGCATGTGACAACCACCATCAAGGTGGTTGACGTTTCATTATTTTTTCAATAAATTCGTTAAGTCAGCAAGACCCGTTTGGAATCTTGCCCTCGTTTGTTTTTTGTTTTGTTATTACAGTTCAAATGATCTGTTTCACTATCATCTCCAGCGAAACCTAAAATGCCCTACGTTTGTCGGAAAACAACAGGAGGCTTCAGCAGAAGTTCCCCAAAACCAAAGTCATGGCTGTCCAACAAAGTTCTTGGATCTACTTTTTCCAAAAAAAAAGCTTACAGGCAGTCTAAATTAATGTATTTTACCCATAAGAAACTGTCCACACAAAAATATTTCACAGGGTAGAAATTTGGAAGACGGGAACTTCTGTAAACTGCTTGCTGAGTATCCTGACCTGAAGTATACCGATCAAAATAACAAGAGGGTTTGATGTCGCCATCCAAACAAAATCTTTCTCAAGGGCCCAGGGAGCAAATTAGATACGGCAGTTCATCTGGGGAAAAAACTCTATTATGAATTATATACCGTGATAAGATAATGGGTTGTCATAAAATGTTTTAGCATACAATGCTTGCAGGGGGCACAGCTGGACGTTGTTTTGCCACGACCCTTAGGCCAATTGCATAAAAGAAAACTAAATGTTGTAAATGTTGCATCATTGCTATTGATGATTTGGACAAAGACTCAATTCAAAACTGTTAGAACAAAAGAAAAGTTCGTTGTAAAAAAGCATGTGACCATTAACGTATGGTCTGATCCACAACACGGTATTTCCACAGGAAGAAGGAAAGCCTGGACATCCCCAAGCTTGTCGGAAAAACAAGTGGCTTAAGTCATTCAGTTTGCTTCTTGAGCTCAACTCAAAACATCTGTAAATCTCCTTCAAGAGGTTGGCACAAGTTTATACAAGCAAAACGAAACAAATATAAAACCAAACATAGTTTACTGTAAGCTTGCAGTTTGGTAAATAACAGAGGGGGGGGGGCTTGTGATAATGATCTTAAAATGCTTCCCCTGATCACGATACATGTACAATGCAACACAACACAGGTACAGTTCAGGAAGTCACCCAAATACTTCACTCAATGGTTCCTATTCCAACCATTCTGGTTAGGATAGTTACTGAGTATGCCAAAGATATTTTGGAGAAACTCACTACAAAATGCAAGTGAGAGTTTCCCCTCTATGTGAGTAACATTTTATATCTGTGGGCATGTGTGGCCTTGTGGTTAGAGCTTGTATCAGGTTAGGGAGTGTGAATCCCCATTTGTACAGGTATGTGCTTCTCTCCACCTTAGAGTAAGTACATGAAGGGGTTCCCTGTAGGCCTAAGGGCAGACTGTGGCTGATTAGCCGGTTAGTTCCTAAAATGGCTACATAGTGTTGTACACTCTCCAGGGAGCTGAGATGGTTTCAGGAATGTTAAGATGTTAAGAGCCCAAGGAGCAGGGATGACCACACGTCCGTGACAGATACTGTGACAAGTAAACTTAGACACCAGTACTCCTTGCTTGAAAATGCTCTGATAAAATCATTATTATTATTATTACCCAAGGTTGCTTGGAGACTGACCAATATATCTGTGACATGATCTTTATAACTCAGAATTTAAAGACTTAATCAAACTGAAAGATGACGATCGGTTTGATCAAGCCTAAACATGCCTTGTTAAGGCCTGACTTTAACCAGGTATTCTACAAGAGAAAACTTGAAATAAGGCTGCTGTTAGGAAACTAGAAGTGCAGGGAATGCCAAATTGAGTCTGGGCCAGTAATTTTCCACTGACCGGGGCACACATGTGCACTGCAATCAACTTTGGATGACAGAGAAGAAAAAAAAAAAGTGAGAGTGAGAAAAAGAAAGGTTGGCAGGGATTAACACTGCACTGGGAGGGGGGGGTTAGTGGATGTGATTTCATCATGTGGGGAAAGCCCCATAGTGTTGCAATACTCACGGCAGGTGCCCCCTTTATAACAGCAAGGGGCCGTGCACAAAATTCTCTGATCGCCTGCGTATCTACAGAATGTTAGAGTCTGCCTGACATGCATGCAGCCCCCCCCAAAAAAGCAACCGGGTAAATTGGCATTCATTGACATTCTCAAGAAATCAGCATGATCATTATGAAAACATGTACTTGTCAAAATATGTGCTTCAGCTCACCGAGGTCGGTATCAATTTATATCGGGGGGGGGGTTTCGCATGGCAAAGAGAGGATCAACCTGTGACTGTGGATATTTCTTTTTTGAATTATGGCCAGAAGCAAATTTTTCATTCACTTAAGAACACTGCTGCTCTTCAAACTGATAGACAGCACAGATTGTATCGGACTCATTTCATTCAAATGACAGGTTCTTACACGACGTAATACATCTCCAAAGCTCAGAACAAAAGTTTACTAAATTTAGAGAGATGTCTGTGGACTTCACAAGCAGATAAAAAAGCAATATATCAAGTACATGTAAGTAAAACTGCTATGACTGTTGAAAATGGACATATTTTTTACATGCACGATCAAATTTCCCTGAAGCCCAATAGATTTTATGCAACGATGCATGATTTTCTCTTCGATCTGCTGTCCATCCCCAATATAAGTAATTTGCTGATGTTGCAGCAGGCTATTGTGCATATGGCCACAACCTGACCCCTGTTTGGCATTATACAATTCCTGGCTCCTCATGTAACTTACTCAGCTCTAGGAATTCCCTAGCTGAGCAATTCAATTCACTGCCTTACATTGCGTAGGTCAGGTGCTTTTGCCATCGTGATGTTAAAGACAACTCTTATATGCAAGGCAGTTTGAGTTACTTGTGGCCTTCAACACAGGTGTCAAAATAATTCGATTTATTGCAAATTCTACGAGGAACACACTTTGAAACACTTGGACATCATTTATTTCTAACCAACCTACAACTGTAAGTTGAAAATACATCCAAGAGGACCGAAATTTCAAGATACATTAACATAACAGATAAAAATTGTGATGGAAAAGAGCATTAAAAATGCATGTAGGAGATTTCTTGTCAGTCAACAAGAGTTGGCAATGAAACACACTATATGTAGGTTCTTGAACCAACACAATACCCAAATCCTCTCAAAATTGAGCTTTTACTGAAGTTCTTCACATGCTTTACCATTTTCAAGAGTGTAACAAAGTCCACAAATTTGAATATACTGTATAACATTTTCACTTTTAAAGGTCCAATGAATATTTCAAGACCTCCAGAGGTTGGAGAAAAATACCTCCATGAGTAAGAGCATTGCACAACATGAGGGAAAATCCATTGGTCAGCAAAGTCGCGCCTTGCACAGTAGAGGGGAGCATCACCGAAAATCAACCAAAAATCTTACACAAGGTCCCTGGAACCTTATTTATTGATCACCATTAATTTGAAAGCCATTTTTTTTCAATAATAGTCACTTTAAATCACAAACAGACAATTTTTGATATTAAGGCCAAACAAAAAAAATAGCTGTGTTTCCGGTTACCTGACCCAACCTAGAAAGTATTTTTTTATATCTTTTTATTCGACAAATCAATAGAATATAAAAACTTATGGTGCCTTGCCCTGAGCCTAATTTTGTGTACATCGTCCTGTACATTGTATTGTTTTAATTTATTTTTTTTACACGAGATGGACAGCTCTTGTGTGTTTGTATTTCAATGACCAGCTGCTTTACTACTCAATCACAGTGCTGATATGTAATATTGACGTGCACATGTACAGTACATGTATTAATCTGACACTGATTTAGTACCTGTTACAAATACGTGCCCCCCCCCAACAAAATACAGACAGTCATCCGAACCTAATTTGTGGGCTTTAAAAATTTAGAGTAAAAAAATATTTCACCCAACCAACCACCCAAATTTATTTTTCATTGTAACAGGAAACACAAGTAATTTTATGTTTGGCCTAACAAAAAAAAAGGTTTAAACTAAGGAACTGCAGGGTATTTTTTTCCCCTCTTATGATTTGGACGGCAAATTCCTTTCACATAATCTATTCCCTTGTGTAGAATGCTGGAGAGGTAGGGTGAAAGGATTTGAACAGTAAGAAGTGACTCAAAACAACTTGAAAACGAATTTCACTTCTATTTTTGCTCCGCTTATGAATGCTTAACTGAGTAAAAAAACGACAATGGGAAGTTACTAATCTCCAAACTAGGCCCCCAAAGCTGACTCCCCAAAATTTGTCAGTGGGCAGTTTTCCAAATTGGGGCTGTGTCTCCAGCTTGGGCATCAGGTTTCAGTTTCATAGACTAAGTCTCCTATATATAGCATCCTCCAGGTCCGCAATCCTCCCTTTTCTCATACAGTCTCATTTTAATTTTTTTTAAATGTAAGGTCAAAGATTAGAGGCTATGGTTTGAACAGTACACATCTGATCTAACAGCCTATAACAAATCCTCCAGCGTGAAGATGAATGTATTAAAGTTTATTTTAAAGCAAAGATTAGCAAAATTAACCCAATCTTGATTCAAACCACAATTTTTTCCAGCAATAAAACAATCTAGCATTCGACTTTGTGGTCTTACATTACAGGTACAATGACCTAATGTTTAATATTGTATTGACATATGTTCTGAGGTAAGAGAATACCAGACTAATACGGAAGGACTAAGCCTGTTATTTCCTCAACCTGTTCACAGTACTAGGGAGATCAGGCCGCACCCTCCAAGGCTAACAGGAATGTGGTCAGGGTCAATGGTCTTCAAGATATGTCTCATGGTTCAAAATACACTTTAGAAGTCAGAGAAAACTTCAAGAGGACTGTCTTACCAAAACTGTCTGTCCGTCTGAGAGGTTGAACGTGGCCTTGAGGGGTGCCATAAAGCAGGCGGGGATCATGTACTCATAGATGAAGTCTCGGAACCCGGGCAGGCCATCTTTACCCGCCCACTTGTCCACCAGTTTTCTGAAGATAATAAAGGCGGTTTTCTGGACCTTGAAGAAAGACAGAGTGATCCCAAAACAATTATGAACTTGACAAGTTTTCAACACCAGAAATACCAATTCTGATGGTCAAGGTTGAACTCAGTCAATGCCAAAGTCATGGGAGTTCATCTTTACTGTCCCTGAGCAGGACATACAACAGCAACTGGTTCTGATTTGACAGGTTACTGGAATGCATGACAAGAACAGGATGTCAATTTAAATTGGCTTTCAACAGTACTTGGAGTGTGAATAATTGTACAATTTCAGAAAGGCAATTTTTCATAATATCTGTCTTTTTGCGCATTACCTTCTGATATCATTTTTCTATTTTGAAGCACCAGTTGTTATTGTGTCATTTCTTATTTTTTTTCCTTGCTGATACTGATAAAAAATTACTCTACCATTTGTGCCATGGCACATTTGCATGTACTTCAATTCTATTCATGCAACAATAATTATGTTCTTACATACCAAATTAAACATAAGAGAGATTTGTGGTATCCCATCCAGGAAGGTGTGGTTATCATAAAGTATACCAAATGTGCTCTTCAATTAAAAAAAAAACAGTAACCACACCCCCTCAAATATATCAAATTCTCCACATTGGTACTATACGTATTTTCATTTATCAAGTAATACCATTATACAAGGGGTGGACTTTGCTTGAGGCAAACCAAGTCACAAAATGCTTGGAATTCACATTCTTAAAGGGACTGAAACTAGACATATTTGTACTTTAACCTTTGGGCAAAGCCAGTCATTTGTGGGCGCTGACTCAGACCATGACACTGATGGTAACTGTCAGTGAATTTTTGAAGTACATGACTTTGCTGACATTCTATATGGGTCATCAATCCCAAACCTAAGCCCTGTTTATGTCTTTTGTACATACTTGTGGCATTTGAGCTTGACTTAAACCAGACAGTGGGTAACACATGGACGTAACCTCAAAAGTGTAACTAACCTGAAATCTGCCTGGGCAGCAGCTTTCTGTAGTCAGACCCAAAATACTTCTTTGCAAAACCTTCTCCAATTTCAACCAAACGTAAATAGGACTCCAGACATGAGATCAACGTACATTGAGGGAAATACCAAGTAATGGTAGAAGCAACGTGTTTGCTTTCATTTAATACTAGGGTATGTAAAAAAAAGGCCTTATTCAGCTTCCTACCCACTTCCTTTTGGAGGCTGCTAGGATTAAAAAAAACAGAGGAAACAATGAGCCAACAAAAGCAAAAATGTCAACTACATGTAATCCATCTACCAAAAAAACAAATAAATACATGCAAGTTGGAGCTTTCTATATGCAATGGACTGTGAGATATTTAACTGTGCCACTTCTAGAAACTGCATGGCAGCATGCTGCTCATGCACCTTGCGAGACAGGTACTTTTAAATCTCTATCCAACCCGAGCTGAAGTGCACCACCAATCGGCAAAAAGAAAGACAGCTGGTTACAAGCAGGTTCTTGCATGCGTTCTGCATGTATGCAAAGACCATACATGCCAGAGTAAACTAGTTGCGCGTCAAATGCGTATATACTTGTGCACCTCATGGCGCGCCTATGCGGTGAATACCAAAAAAAAAAAAAAAAAAAATGAACTCTTCTGTTCCGCTCAGAGCGGATAAAGAGTGAAACCAGCCTACATGTACAAACTGACCAGCTAACTGTCCAAACCACTGTTCAAATATTCAATTCTCTTGATTATCACGTCTCTCTCGTTTTTGAGTCTATAAGCAGTAAAAACACGGGTGACTGTTGGGAACTGAAAAACAAAAGTAAAGAATGGCAGCAATCTGGGACGTAAACACCCACCTCCTAATCTCCAGAAATGCAGATGCTAAATAAGTTAATTCATTCACTTGGCCTAACTGGCTTTGAAGATTTAAGTGAAAACATCTAGTACAGTATTGCCACGATTTCTGGGAACTTTTTAGGTATTAGAATAATAATAATAATCAGTTATGCAGCGCATGTTACGGAAATGTCTCTATGCACTTGGTATCATTATCGCTGCACATTGGGCTCACATCATCTGAACATTCCTCAGAACCTGAACCTGAATTCCTCCGAATCCGAACCATCTCAGCTCCGTGGGGAGTATACCAGCCCATTGCTGCCATTTTGGTGACCTCACGGGTACCCATTTACTCCTGGGTGGAGAGAGGTACATAGGGGTAAAATGACTTGCCCAAGATCACAACATGCTGTCACTGGCTGGATTCGAACCTCTGACCCTATGATCAGAAGCTACAAACCCTAACCACTGGGCCACATGCCCCCCACAATGAAACAGTGATGGTATGGGGTGATTTGGTGCACCATTTGGCCTATTTCAAGACTTCCCAATTCAGAGCTCCTTTGCAAACCAGGAACCCAAACATCACTAGTGGTAGATCATTTCTACAGTACCGGTACTTTGGAGCCATACAAATTGTACTTACTATTGTTAATATTGTTAATATTCAAAGCCATCTTTTAACGGAAACAATAGGATGCTATAAAGAGCCTACCCTTAAATATCTCGAGCAGTAATTTTTGCTGGCAGATGATAAACACTTGTCACATAGGGTTAAACAAGAAAATTTCCCTTTGGCCGAAGGAGACAGGATACAATGCAGACAATGGATCATGATGGTTGGCTGATCTAGCATTCTAAACAAACACTTTAACGACCTTAAAGCTACGACTTACATCTCAACCCCAGATTAGAATCTTCTCCACAATCTGAATGGGTTTCAATTACAATATAGGTACATGTATTTTCCTTCATCAAACTCAGACACCATTGTTAGTGTTTGTTCACATCAAATTCATCAAAGATTGCGATCACAGTCCTAAACAAAATCCACTATTGGTTCCTAAAGCAGTTGTGGAGAAAAGCAACACCATCAGTCAATGATTGCGTTCATGCTAGATTACACTAGAAGCATTATTCACAACCCGTAGAGCAGAACAGGAAAAGTTCCTGTTTCAAACTATATAAACACTACGACCTCTCTAAAAAAAACTAACATCTCATCCTTTGAAGCTTTCAGAGAGTAAATGCACACTATGACAGCGCAATATAAACAATCTCCTGAAAAAAAAACAACCCCAAATCACAAGGGCTTATTATAATCTGAATGAATAAAAACCAGGAACAAAAGTACAGCATATGAGGAAATTATCCTGTGGTTACAGTAACTGCAGTAACAGAAGCAAAGCAATACCAATGTGGAAAGTCCCAAAAACCGAGAGAAGCCAGTCAAACTTACAGTAACTGTAGGGAAGGAAGTGTGTCTGGATTTTTTCTTGAATAAATAAAGCCCCCCCCCCAAGGAGAGAGAACTTTCAAGATTTGTCTATACAGGAAGTAATGTGCACCGACCCTTAGGTTAACCCTAACCGCCTAGGCCCTTTTGGCGAGAATACACCCTCAATCCTTCAAAAAAAAAACCAACAGCCACCATGAAAAAATTGGATACAGCCTCAGTCCTCTAAAATCCTCCGATTTTTCTTGAATATGTTCTGTTGGAAGGGTGCCCACTGCCTCAATCCTGCAAAATCCTCCGATAATGGCCGAAATGTTCCGAACTCATCTGTCCACATTCGGACAGCATTGTTGGTGTTCGGTTATTTCGGCTATTTTCGGAAACTGGAGGAATTCCTCCGGTTTGGGTCATGTGGACAATGGGTGATACCAGACCCTTGATTTGCCGAGCATAGTCGGAATCATTGGGTCTGGTATCAAAACTAGTACTGTACACATGAATTTGTGCATGGCTGAACATAAACAACACAGGGTCTAACCCACGACCTTGAGACAATGCATCCTTCGCAATCAGCAATGCCGTTTCGCCATGCAGCTTCAATCCTCCAAAATCCTCCAAAACCGTCCGGAGGTTTTTGAAGGATTGAGGATGGTTAGGGCTAATTGAGAAAAAGGGCAACATACTATCGGGTCTTGAGACTCCACGGCCCCTTGTGCAATGGTCAGCAACACTTGCTTAAAGTTATCAGCATCTGTTGGCGGAAAAGGAAATGAACAAAAGTTTTGAGATTGCTGTAACTTTGCAAGTTATGATTATCCACATGTGGGAGTGTGTGTGATAAAAACTGCACATGTCAATATTTATCGGTTGCCGGTTGACAGATGTGCTTTCACAAAGATGAACAACAATTTTTTTTTTCAGAGAGAGGCGTTGACATTTAAAACAGGAAGCCGTGGGTTAGGTTTTTGTTGTATGTTTACATCACATCTGGTGATGAACAAAACCAAAAAATTAATATTTGCGGGGGGTTGTTTGTCTATTTCCAAATTATGTCACTTTACAATTGCCATTCAGTGGGTGTGTAAAGTGTTTTTCCATCAAAGTTAAAAAAAAAAACACTTCTAAAATTATCACAGCAAACAGGAAACAGTATCCTCTGGGGGTGGCCGCACATCAGTGGGCAGTCCGTATGAATTAAAAGTTAAATATAGGCCGATTTTTTTTCATCAGACCCTCTTACGTAGGTGTACCAGCCAAGGGCATACGTTTGTGAAATAATAGATACCAGAAATGCAAGATATTTTATTAAAGGGAACTGCTAGGCGACTCCCAAATGTGCATGTAGCATTATTGGCGTGGCTCTTTCAAGTTGCAATTGGAGACCAGGTGATGCATGGAAAAACATGCGCACACGCTAACCCACAGGGCTAGTTCCGATATCCTCAGACTAGCTTTTTTAAAAACCTTTTCAAAATCACGAAAACAGCATGAAATCTGGCAGGGTTAGAGAGCAGAATAAAAAGAAAATCAAAATATTAGGTTACATTTTAAGACAACTACATTATCCAGGATCGAATGATGAAATTAACCAAAGAAACTTTTAACCAGGCAACAGGAATAGTCCACCACATATCCCAGTGGCGCTCACTGCACACTTTTTCCACCTCTAATTCCCTCTAAATGCTGCATCAGAGACAAAATTCCATCCAAGCATTAAAGATCCCACATCCGGAAAAATAAGAATTTTCTTAACATAATTTTTTTCAAATTGTATCATTCCAGGTTCACTTAACCTTAAGACGTTGGCCTTTAATGCCATTTTCTTGATCCCCTTGCTAGCCCTGACAGCAGGCACAACAGCAAATGATGAAGGTTAAAATATTGATTTGGATGGATTAACTAGTATTCAATGAGGGATCCTACTGCTTGTAAACAATGTTTAACCACCAACAGTGGATCTTTCTACCTCAGCCTTAATTAAGATTTCTTCCAAGTCCACCAGGAAAACTTCCACAAGAAAGTGGTCTAGTGCCGAAATTCAGCCTATGGAAACTCACTGGATTAGTCAACTCTCACCTTGGCCAGAGATGACCTCGCTGACATCGTTGGCCACCAGCGTCTGGAGGAATTGGAAGTAGCTCCTCTTCAGCAGGTCCTTATCTTGCTTGGCTTGGATGTCTAACTCGTCGGCGGGCTGTCCCAGAACGTTAAAAATGGTAGTAACGATGGGCATGAAGACAGAGCGCATGAAGGGAACTATGGTCCTCTGCGGAGTAATTAGCAAAAGGAGGAAAAGCTAGGAAAATTCTAAGACAATGAAGGCAAAACATTTCCTCAAATTCCCTATTCCTTCACATCTCTTCAGGAAAATGACTCCACCCCCCCAAAAAAAGTAAGCAATGAAATATTTAATACTCAAGCATTAGTTTGAGTGAAACTGAATCTTTAGTAATGTAACACAAATACAGGGTCATCCCATGTCATTTGCTGACAATCACAGAGTGCAATGACAATTAATATGATGATTGGCCTGTACGAGAAACTTCCAGACGTGAATTGTTTTTCTAATTCCACGAATTAATTTCGATATTTAGGTTAACAAACTTTTGGCCAATTTACATAGCCTCTGAACTTTAAACACTTTGTCTAAAAAATGTAAGGCACCTCCAAAGCCAAGTCATATTATCACTGTAAAGCTCACAGAATGGCCTTCAATTCAGACATTGAAAGCCAAATCACATGGAAGTCGATCATTAGATCAACTGTCATTCCAATTTCTGAGGGTAAGGTGCAAAAAATTATATTGAATATGAAATGACCCTGTGGTAATCTATAAATGGGTTTGTTGATATTAATATTTGTGTACTTATTTGATTTGGTATGCATTGTTCTCTTTGGCTATTAGAATACAATGCATCAAATTGAAGCATTAAAACACATACAGAGCTGTGCCAAAGGTCAAATGCACTTGTTCTTGGCTCCAGTCAACTTTGTAGCATTCAAATTTTGTGCACAAACAATCCTGTGGTATTTATACGGCTGCCTGTGACCAAAATTGTGAAATAAATTGTGATTGGCTTCTGATGTAACTTGTAATAATGTCTTGTGACTGACTCTTGATGCACTTGGGATTTGACTTGGACTTGTGAATTTGTTTGATGATCAATTTGTAATCTGGGTCGCAATATCATACTTGACAGACTCTTAACAACAGTGCTGCACTTTGGCCAGTCGTGGACAGAAGGTATGCATATTGACAACACAAGCCTATTCAAACACCAAACCACCCAGAGGCTTCTGCAGAGAGGCAGTTCTGCGTGGCACAATGACATACGCAGCTACTACTATCCTGGCCCAAATTTATTGGAACACGTGTCAATAGACATACCCTCCCCAAGTCCCTCGTTCCCCCTGTCAAATGTTGTCATCCGAGGGAGGCTGCAGCGCAGACTGCACACTGAGACTCAACAATGAGAGGGGGTCCACGGGGGAGGGGGGGCACCTTGGCCAACGAGATGTGGCCAATAGTGTAGTTTCAGAACAATTCAAGCAGGAACTGGAAGGTTTGGGCTCACGTGGAGACAAAAGATTGATACCTGTCAACCAGTCTTTCTGCACACGGATTGGATTATTCAGGCTTCCTGCACTTGGAACTGCACTAAATTCAAAGATTTGTCAAGGACTTTCAAGTTCCAGAAATTCCATTTTCAAGGGCTAAAATCCAGCAAACACTAATGGTTTATCAGAGAGTTGTACATTAATCAACAGGTATAGGATCATTTGATGGGTACCAAGGAAAAGTAAGAAGGTTGGCTTATCGAAGGACCCAGGTCCTGGTCAAGGTACGGTAGCCGGTCAATTTTAACTTATGACGCGTTTGAAACCCATCATCATATTACTCGAGATGAATACTTTTATCATAAAAAAAATTTTTGAGGACTTCCAAGGACCTACGATAAAATCCAGGAGTTCTCAAGGCCTTAACCTTTAAAATGGCAAGAATTTCAAGAATTGCACGAGCCCCAGTTATTTGTACATATACATTTGTTTGGGCATGCCTACTTCAATTTTCTGAGTGAAAGGCAACTAGTATATGTGACCTGTCGCCACAAGATGAGCTGGAAGTCGGAATTTTCAAAAACTGAGATATTGGTGTTTTTGAATTCAGCAGAAAGAGAGCTTTCCAATGGAATTTACATGGAACACTTAGGGTAGAAGTATAAGGTGACAATGTGGCATTATTCTGGCAGCTTGGCGTCTGTGTTACTGACATTGTTTCAACATTTCAGACCAGGCACAAATAATGCTATCGTCAAAATTGCTAAGAAAATGACATTTTAAAATATGTGATTCTACAGAATATTTGGAATTAAATAGGAGATGGGTTACTCTTTCCAAATATCACAAAACCAAAAAACTGTCCTCTACTTCAATATGACTTTGAACCCTCAAAACAGGAAAGAGTGGGATGCTACTTTACTCTCATTTTGAAATGACAGGTCACATATTTGTAATGTAACGAATGTATTAGTGCATGCATGGTGCAAACAAATGATGAAAGTGATGGTGTTATGATTCCTTTTTGTTTTTTATGCTTTGACAATTTCCACATTCAGTGGCAAAGCTGTGATGTCATCCCGGGGGGAAATCCCAATGATGCATTGATTTGTGACCTTTTGCTGTCCTAAATTTCCTTGTCTTTGGTAATTTATCTTCATGAAAGTACTCAGCAATAAACAGATTGAATAAACCTTTTTCAAAGAATACTTTCAATGTGTAAATAGTCACAATTTTAACAGGAAAAAGCAAAACACTGAACAAAGTCTTCAAAGTCTTGAGGCAATTGTGTCCCAAGTAGTCCAGAAAAGTTTGGACAATTTCAAACGATTGAAATAATGCACTTTTCCATACTCCAACCAACAATATCAAATAGTTTTCATATTTCAAAGAAGAGTCTAAAGATGCAAAAAGTGTGTCTTAAGAAAAATCCATCAAAGAGACCCTTAAACTGTTCAATAAATATGCCTGAAGTTGAAAATGATGCTCGGCGCCAGTCCGTCTTGTAAATTGTTCCATGTAACACTCAGCTTTCAGACCATCATCCCAACCAACCTTGAACTTGCTGGCAATCTGGTTGATGAGCGGGATGAACTCGTGGATGTCCCGGGCCTCCGACTTCTTGAGCAAGTGCTCCATGGCGACGGGGACGTATGGCAGCAGGGCCTCCTCCAGGCAGATGATCATCCGGTGCAGGTACTGCCTGACGGCAGCGTGCAGGATCTGGTGATGGTAGGGGGTGTTGAGGGCACGCAGGAAGACCCGCAGGGCCTCGGTGAAGCAGGCCTCGCAGCCGCTCTGCTTCATGGTCAGCTGGGTGTAGAAGGCTTTGCTGGTTCGGCTGGTGAGGGAAGAAGGAAGGAGAGACAGATCGATGATAAACGGGCAGAGAATGGAGAGCGTGGGCACAAAATGAACCAGGGGATAAATATTTCATCGTATGCATCCAGGGGCATTGAGACACTTGAAAAGGCAACTGGCATTTTAGAGGCTTTACTAAATATGCCCTTCCTTCAGGCAGCAGACGATATGCAAACCAACTGAAAAAAATCAGGCGGAAGTCACCAGAGCCACTACTGATGAAGAATCTTGCCCAATTGTAAATCGCAATGGGTCGTCAACATTTTGTGCCCACATAATGTCCATTTTCACATGCACACCAAACTGAGTGATCTTGCAGAAACTCGGGAGATTTTTTGTGAGCGAGTCAGGACGTAAGCACAGCACTGTTCTCCTCAGATTTGTCCAAGATGTGGAACGTGAGTCTGAGCGTGGTGCTCACACCTTGCGAAAGCGATGGCCAGCGCAGCCACCTCGGCGTACTTCTGTCGCTTCTGCTCGTCTTTCTCGGCGCACATCTTGTCAAACATGGCGTTGAACTTGTCCAGGGTCGGAGCGAGGAGATTCTTCATGAGGTACTCCTTCTTCTGCGAGGGGAGTACAAAAAAAGTGATGGAACTGTTTTTGACCTTGTGGACCAAGAACTGTCAACCAACAGGTTACATGCCTTCATGTCCAAATGACCAAATGTCCGAATTACCAATCTTTATTTTGCAAAAAAACTGCTTCACTTCTAAAATGTTCAAAGCAATACGGGCGATTCACTATAGTGCGCCTCCAAGAGTTTGCAACGCGTTAGCCAATCACAACGCGTGAAATTCGACCCTTTCCAAATGCGCATTGGGTCGACGAATTTCGCGCATTGTGATTGGCCAATGTGTTGCAAACTCTTGGAAGCGCACTTTTGTGAAATGCCCGTATTGCCACTTTCACATATGAGAAAGGAATCTCACAGGCTAACAGCAGAGAGAGAGAGATTACACTTTCATATGAATCCTACACATTTTCAATCCTAAAACAGCAATGCATTTCCCCACACTTTCTGAACAAGAAAATTTACCTGTTAGCATGGGACAGATTTTGACATTTCCGCGAGGCAACGCAATGTGTCACTTTAATATTTGAACACATAAAGTTCACATTTTCTCTTTTGTTTAATCACATTTGTAAAACTTAAAGAAACATTTGCAAAACTTCTTGAAAAACATACTTCTGAGAAGAAGTTCCAGTTTAGAATCAAGATAACATACTTGAAAGCAACTCTTGGATAACCACACAATGGGCAAGTTTTGGCAAATTGCAAAGTTGGACCACTTGGTTCTTTCTAACGCAGTGCACGTGCAGTACAAACACATTCGAATAGACAATGACATCTCATGCGTAATGCCAAGTGAATAGTTCCCTCCTTATTGATAAATCAAGTTAGCATTAATAACTAACGATGCGATCACGCTCCAGGGCCTGGTTCCAAATGGTTGACTAGATGATCCAAACCATCCAGTCTTCCAACGATGTTGGCAAAACTATAACTATAGGTGTTGCTTGCACTTGCTCAATGCTCTAAAAATGTTACTCTTGGGAATAAAGAGGCAATAACGGCTGCAGACAAATCCAGTTAAACCAGAATAACAGGCCGTTACTGCCATGGTCCCACACTCGCACACACAGGTCAAACACAGGTGACAATGACCCTTGACAAACAAGGTGTTCACATATGGCATGTGCAGAATACACAGCAACAAGAGTGTTCAAGTCTGGTACCACTGTAAGTGACAGCATCAATACAGACGTCTCCTACATACCTCAGGTGCATAGCTGCTAGATACAATAATGGTTCCCGCTGCCTCATACATGAATAACTGATCGTCGCTGGTCAGCAATAGCTGGTGGCCATTGTCCTGTTGAAAATCACGAATAAATTTGATAAAGAGGATATCGTGGTGTTTGAGTTTAGATATTCGTCCAGACTCCCGTAGACTCATTCTCTCCTCGAGCGCAGAGACAAATTGAAATTAAGCACATCAAACAGCTGTGACATCATGTTTGTTGGTGAAGATTTTTCCTGTCAAGACAGCACAGGTCCCAACACTACGACAGCAGAACGGATCAGAAAGTCAGAAAACAGCTGGGATGTATTTGTCAATGCCCTAAATTAAAAATTGAAGAGCAAAGATTTCACGCACAGTTCAGTTCGCACACTGATCTCCTTACAAATGACAAGATGACTGGTAACAATTTGTATTTGCTATCTTCCAACGAATTCAATCATATATTTATGAAGAATAAGCAGGCCTGAGAATAAGCTGAGTTGGCAACCATATTTTTTTTGTGTAGGCCATCGGTGTACATGTATGTACCCATCATGCATCTTACCTGGAATCACCTGACTGAGGGGCAGGGGTCTCGACAGTCACCACCAAGTAATTGCATTAGTTTTTTGGGTCATCAGTTGAGAGCTTCGGTAATTCATTTTGCAAGAAGCGATAGCTTTGGGTGCCATTTGAGGTTGTGACGTCAAAACAGAACTGTTTCAGGAATACCAAAATGCACCCTTACTCAGAGTGATGCTTGACTTGTCCTAGCCAGCAGCGCCATTCTCTATGTACCCCTGTGAACAGATCTAGGTGTTGGCATGGAAGACAGGGTTTCATAATTTCAAACCTTGAGGGCTGGAATGTGTACAACTTAGATATCTTACCGGGGGTGCGATGACCAGCAGGTCCTGTATTCTCTTGAGGATCTCCTCGGTGAAATCTGTCAGGTGATGCTTTTCCGCCTTGATGAAGCGGCTGAACAGGTACGCCGAGCGGCTACGGATGGTGGGATGACAATGCCTCAGTCCCCTGTCACCCAGGAAGGCCATCAGGACGCTGGGGATGTGTTGGGGCTCGCAGTTGAAGAACTTATCGTATCGCGCTATCGTCTCAAATACCTACACAGCCAGGAACAAAAGTGGGGCAATTATCAAGTTGATTCAATCTTAAATTTATCAGAACCACTAAACCCACTTTATTAACTGTAAACTAGCAAATTACAACTACATCAGTGAAATTTCAATTCAATCTGGCACAGCTGCTGTTTAATGAATGTAATACATTGTTTGTGCTTGTGCACATTAAACATGAAATGGTAACAGTTTCAGATGACCTGTCACGGAAACAGGACTGTTAAATATTACTGGGAAAAATTCCTGTAGGCTCAGCACCAAAATATTGCCCTGTTAGGATATCAGAGAATATGTCGTAGGGAGTGGGAATTACCCCTCAGCTCTTTAGGGGGAAATACTTTGAAGTAGACATTTCCACTAAAATGTGAGCGAGTCTTGAAATTTTTTTTTGCCAGTTTGGACACAATTTGAATTTAAACTACGATAAGTTAGCTAACAAGAATAGAGACAAGAAATTGTCGAAGACAAAAACAGATTAGATGGACAAAATAGCTGGGAATAAAGTCACTTTTTAGATAAACTGTTCATGGAGGGTAATTATGCACAAATGCTACGATGCTTTCTCCACCATCAGTGGTTCTTTAAAACGCCCATGGCATCCCATGTTTGGAATGGCTTAACCAAACACAGACACAACGTACCTGTAATCCTACTGCCCAGTGGGAATGTTCCACAACGCGACTTGTGATCAGCTGGAACAAGACAAAGATAAAAATTACACTTTTACAATGCAGCTCGATTCACAGTGCAACGAGATTCACCTCCCGACAGACTTTGAATATTTATCCACAAAATCTGCCCCAAAACACCTTAATGTAAAAATGAGGCTAACTCTCAAATCATGCCGTCAGGAAATCTAGTTGTTTCAATATGGATGTTTGACAAATCATAAATGTTGGCTATTCAAGTATTTTCTTTCTGCCATACAAAAAGGCAGGAGGTCTCAAAGACAATAATAAAGTAATGCTTGGGCTGTGGTCTTTTACTCTAAGCTGCAGTCTGGTCCCCTGCACTGCTCAGGGAATCCATCGTGGCACCCAACCACTGGTGTCAATATTCTCACTGATCTGAGGGTCAGTCGGGTCCCAAAC